AGCGAAGGGAGGAGTCACCACTCGGTGAAGAAGACCGGACTGACGACCACTTGAGGGGAAAAAGGAAGATTCTGATGTGATTGATTTATCAGAGGTTACACTACCCTCACTACCTAGTCAGCATCCAATCATTGGGGTCATCCAATCACTAACACTCTCTACTCGTCCAATCACCCAATTCGTCTAACCACTGGTGGCGTAATCAACGTACATACCGTCAGGAACCGGTAGCCCTCAATATAAAGAGCTTCAATTGGGTGAAATCCGATAGTATGGTGCGCTTCATTTTTCTAATATTAATCTTTCGTGCGCAACTTCAGTTAACTGTAGTTTACAACGTTATATGATTTGCCTCAAAAAGAGCGATAATATCGTCCCTTCACTCTTGTAACAAATATCAAAGATGGTTATTGATGCAATCGAGTAAATGCATTTGACTTCAATAGAATATGTTAAAATGTTTACGAATCGCACCGTATTTGCTTTGTCACACAAGGAGTTCAGGGGCAGTTATACTGCTGCAAAATGGCGCAAAAATCACCCTTTTAAAAGGTTGGTTCCCACTCCTACTCGTCTTTGCACGAAACTGTATAGGACGATTTTTGCGATCTTTTGTCACCAAAGCGTTAAACGACTAAAGCGCATATGGGGGGCTTTGCTTCATCGAGTTGCTTATGGGAGCAGCATCCCAATGTGGCACAGCCACTTCGGAACGACGCCTTCCGTTTAGCTCGGTTTGGTTCAAGGGAATCGTTAGGTTAAATGTTTTCTATGCGGCTGCTATCGCAGACTCTTTAGGGTAACATCTACGTCTCAGGACAAGCCAATAGCCGATGACTCCATAAAATCCGACGACGAGGTGGAAAGGGAGATTGGCAGCTTTGTTTCCACCCTGCCAAGCGCACGGCACCTCCTTACAGAGAAGAAAACGTCTCCTGTAAGTCGCAAAGCCGCCTTCGTCCTCCCGGTATACATACCGCCTCGTACATTTTTACAGTACACCCACTAATCGACGACCTGCCTTCTTCGCTTTAGCTGGAGCTTGTCGCCACAGACTTGATTTCTTCTGCCCGGATAGCAGGAATGTATTGGAAGGATCGGGTAGAAAGTCGGAATCAAAAGTACTAGGGCATCGCGAAGGCTGAGATAGGAAAGCACCTGAGCGCCATAGAGAAATTACCTTAATTCAGTGAAAAACACTGAAATATGTCAAAACGATTTAAACATTTTGAAACGCACTGGCGTCAGTACTTGATAGTAGTATTAATACGCCCTGGAGAAATATCCCCAGTTCATGGCTCATAAAATTATGGTCCTCGCTCTAAAACTAAATAACAAGCTCGCTTAACCCCTTCTCTGCGGAGGGGCGGCATGAACGGGTTACTATAATGCCTCATGCTGTTCTAAGCAGCATAAGGAACTGACACGATGCGCCTGGGAGAAAATTTGGATGGACACCCCGGGCGACAAAGGACCCACGACGAAGTGCTGTGATTGGCTAGGGAAGAGAC